AAAAAAAACAAAAACAAAAAAAAAACAATGCTGAAATTAAATCAAAATAAATTAAACCGGAAGACTTTATCCTGGTCTATTTATTATCGTTTCCCCACGAGCACAACATGTAGCCTATTTTCGAGTCAATATTCTCATTTTTTGCGTCAAGAACTGAAATGTTCAACATTATTTTTATATTCGAAGTCTACGGGCAATATTCCTCAAGGACAATATAGGAAAATTCTCCCTATTTACTTTCTGTACCTTAAAACAATATGAGCTTGTTTATATTTTGTTTTCTTTTGAATTCGATAGAATTTCTTCAATGACCTTTCACTGTCAAGCCGAAGCGAAAATAACCATTTGTTCTTTAATTTCATTAATTAACAGGAATTAGAAGTGGGTGATATTTTTCTTTCTAATTTTAAATAGTTTCAAGGCGGTGAAACTTCCAGACGTCTGAGTCAGAGATATAATGATTATAAAACCCAAGGCGTGTCAAACGACTTAAATTCTTTGAACGCAAAATAGAGTAGCTAGTTCAACAGCAAAAAAAATCGATAAATGTGACAGTTCAGTGCTGAACTTATGTTTTCCAAAAGATATCGCTGCGCTGCAAGAGCATGTAAAAAGGTCAGAAAGCCTCAATCTCTCTCGTCGTTTACTGCCGGAGCGGGCAAGATAAACCCTGTTCAATCTCGTCACGCCAATGATTAAAATGAATAAATTCTGTTTATTACTGGACAGTTTAAAGTTTGCAACGATCTTTGCTAGTTTCTAATCAAATCTACCGCTACATTTTCTCCGACAATAACTCTTGAATCGAATACGAATAAGAAATTTTATGTCATAGAAGACGTTAGAATTGGACGTTATAATTAGAGTGAACAAAAGTTGTTTTTGTTTACCAGCAGGTTTAAGCGAGACGTGCGAGATAATAAAATTTGGCCCTTGCAAGCCCGAATTAAAGGCATTTTCTTTCCAATCTTTGTTCTGAGAAGTTAGAGAGACATCAAGAGAAAACTCTCCGCCAATTTGACGAGTTTCTTTCTTGTGTGTGGTCAGATACACTTCTGCCTTTTTGAGAATGTACCAACAATTTAAAAAATTATGTGATGTTTACGACCGAAACAATTCTCACAAGAGTCTAGCAAACGAGACCGAATCGAAATATTTTAAAAAATGGAACAATTCAAGAGCTTAAGCCTAACATACCCTAGACAACATATCGTCATTTAAGGCTTACCTTTACCTTTCGAAGAAACGTCAAAGAATTGCTCTTTCAACTGACAAATTCGCTTGGTGTTTTCAAACTGCGCGCGTCAAAAGTTCGTTACTTAGTGCGCGTTTTGAAAAACGACTGCTTATAAACACTGATTAATTTAACCGTCTCAGGTGACAGGGGATTCCCCGAAGCAGTAGGAGCACCTATGGCAGCACGTAACATATAAAGAGGACCTTGAAGATATAAAATACGGTTTCTGCTTTTTAATATTCGCTTTCATAATGTGTCTTCGCCATTCTTCTTCCCTTTAGGGGTGATAGCTAGTTTTGTGAATTTTAATGACTTAAAATGGCGTGATAGTATAGGTAAACAATCCATCAACACTATGAATCGCTATAATTGGTCAAGCAGCTAGACCCAAAATAGGGCGGAATAAAACCTTGCCGGAGAAGGCTTGTGTTTCCTGGGCAGATAAAAGAATGTCTCATGATCAACTAAGTTTTCGTGTAGGCGACCAAACATAGTCTTGTGGTGAAACCATGAACAGAGAAAGGCTAACACCGTAGACGTGGTGTTGAACACGACCATAAGGGCATGGTTGACTGCATCATCTGCAGAACACTCCACAAATCAAGACCGCAATGCGGAAGCTTATAAATGTGTCATTAATGACTACTTTTTAATATTGCCAAGCGTCCAGTGCCCTCGCCTACCCTACAGAGGTGATTCTACAGATATCATTTGTTCGGTAGTCGGACTTCTATTAATTCTCCGGAATCGGTAAGTAAAGTTACCGCTCTCCTTAATAATATTTAAACTAAACGCTTGCTGATTTGTGTTAGTGCTAATCGAGTTTATCTACTGACTACGCTGTAAACTATGTTATGAACTTGCCGAGCGAAAACTGGTGTAAATTAAAAGTGTATGCTGTGATAAGCAAGCGATTTATAGTTCATGTTTTACAGCACACCTTTTCTTTTATTATGGTAAGTGCGCAGTTTGATTACCTTGAGTGATGACGCAAGAAACAAAATTTATTAACGGATCAGAGGTGCCTCCTACGCAGGTCAGACTTTGGCTTGTCACGTATTCCTGCGTCTCCAAATAACCCTCTTGGAATCGTGGTCTGGTCTTAATCTTCTTCTCAAGGATTTTTATGTTGGCTTTCAACCTGAGTAGGGGGAGGCTGATAAATATCATTTTGACATCGTCACGTTGATGGGCCTACACGTGGGAAGGAAGTCCAAGGAGTGGAGAAGCTTTCAACCGTGGGATCATGATCACGAACTTAAGAGT